ATCGAGACCACGATCGGGGTCTCTACGCGCCCGGACAGCTCTGGCTCCAGCACAAGGACATCGTAGGCCGCGCCAAAGGGTTGGCCTACTTTTGTTACGCTGTTTTTGTTTCATCACAGTTTGTGTTCATTATTTTATGCCTCTATTTATAGGTACGTGCCGTACGTTGGTTACGTCACTATAGTTATGAACGATTACCCCAAACTTAAGGTATGTTATACCCGGGTATTGAGTGAGTGAGTGAGTGAGTGAGTGTGTGTGTGTGAGAGAGAGAGAGAGAGAGAGAGAGTGAATATGCAGTGAATTGACTGATTATTGTTATAATTTTGATTACAAAAGTGATAATTATTTGATTGTTGCCAATAGTATGCGGTGTTGGGCTGTTTGGGTCTATTTGTTTTGGCGCACCGGGAGTGACACCCCTCCACCCCCTAGTGTCCACCGTTTGTGCCGAGTGTTCACCCATTGGTTGCGAAGTCAACCATTTGTCTCCACCCCTTGTGTTAATTAATTAGTAATTTATTGATGAAAAAAATTAATTTATTATAAAAAATGTTTCGCAAATACAAGTGTTTATATGAATAACCATTTTTTGCCACAAAAAGTCTTCGTATGATAAGTCATTCCAATGAAAAACTGATTGCAATTTAATGTCTACTTTTATCTGAGGTCCAGTTCCTCTCGTAATTTATTTTTTTGCTAACATTTTGTAAGACTTTTATTAAAAAGCGTTGAAAAGTTAATAAAAGTATTTGTTTTTTGATTATAATTACTGTTTAATAAGTTATTGTTAATTGATTTATTAAACACAATTAAGTTACGGGTATTTGTCATTGAAAAACGTTAATTAAAAACAATTTTTGACGTAATTTATTAGTAATGATTTATTTTACGTGTATTGCATCAACAACAATTTTAGCGCTCAGTGTACGGTTGCCATAGAGACCGATATTAACCACTCGTTAATTACGTCTCGTAACGCAAACTATAAAGTAATTTATTTTAATTAGTTTTCGCGATACATTCAAGGTAAGATTTAATGATACATTAAACTCAATTAAATGCTAACTAAATCACACAATAACATAATTTATAAACCATTTTAAGTCTAATTATTAAACTATAAAATATACTAAATGTTGACGTAATTGACGACCGATGAGTGAAACGATATCGTCGTATGCGATGAATGGCTAAACAAACGGTCGGAAAATGTGTGATAAAAGTGAATACAAAACCCGCTTTTGGTGTCAATTATCGTGTGTTTTGTTTATCCATTCATTCAATGAGTCCATGGATTGAGTGATGAATGCATTGAAACCGCGAAACAAACACTCGTTTCATAAACACTTGTGTCCACCGAAAGTGTCCCTCATTTCATATCTGACTGTTTGGGGATCAAGTGATCGGTGATGTCTTCGCGCACCACCACTACCACCTCCTCGTTGTCCTCCGGGGCGTCGTTGCCATCGTTTGTGGGCCAATACCGGCGCCCGATGTCTGATCCGACGCCCAAACGGACCACCGATTGTCGCGACGCTATCGCCCACAAGAAGTTGAAGCGCTTCTTCAAGTGCACCAAATTTAACCTCAAGACCGGAGCCAAGAGTGACCAGTGCTTCGTCACCAGAAACACGTCCCAAGCCTTCAGGGATCACCTCATCAAACGACACCCGAAGCAGACTTTTTCTTGCGTTTACTGTAATCCCAATCCCAACAAGACTTACGACAAAGAGGTAATTGTCTGCTCATTTTGTGGACACAGGAGGTCGGTGTTGGTGTCGGCGATGGCCACCACTAGATGCCTGTCCACTGGTGTGTCCATTGTTTG